GGCCAGGAAGTCGGCGGACCGCAAAGTCCGGCAGGTTCCGCGAGCCGCTCGCCTACCGGTACCGGCGGTACTGGTTCCGTGCCGAATCGTGGTGCGACTCCCGATGAGGAAGACCGTGACGCCAACGCCACACCAGGATCCGAAAACACTGAACGATCCACTCCGGAGGAGGGACGACCGTACAGACGTGAGTTCAATTATATGCATGTTTTTTGCTTTTTTTCCGAGCGGATAATGATCAATATGATGTAGAATCGATCTCACGTTTGAATTTTTAATTAACATTTGATTCTTTACATACAATTTTTTTATTTTTTATGTTATCATATGCTCAATATTTAATCATTTGTATTGATCATTTCTGTTCTTCGTACGATTTTAATATCTTTCTCAACATTAATACGATTCTGTTCATTAAATTGTTTGGTAATACATTAATATGTTATTCTGAGAAAAACACAAAATGTCACTGAAATCTTTACGTCAACTCGTAAAGTACCCCTATTGACGTAATCTCAAAAACAACGCGGATTTTCTCCGTTTATCATAAACATTGTCCCTGTTAAACAAACTCAGCTGCGTATTCAAAATTTTCAAAACATACCGTGGATATGTATCTTAAGAGATAAGGAAACACATGCCGTATTGTTTGAGAACGCTCAATATTTCTCGAGTCGCGGGCGGTCGGGGTGGACAACCCGTATATTTTTTCGCGTTGACCCCGACGTACGGGTGGGTTAAAGCTGGCTACAGGAGCAGAATCATCAAGATTTGTATGCTTAATCTACCTAAGTCGTTTATTTGAGCCCCCGGCAACGTAACAGCTGTGCCACGGACAGCCCCGACGAGATGTGTTCGCACGGAGGGCTTGTCCTCTCTCTCTCTCTCTCTCTCTCTCTCTCTCTCTCTCTCTCTCTCTCTCTCTTTCTCTATGCGTTTGTTTATTTTTCGCCATTGTCTTAATTACCGAAAGATAGAGCCATTCATTTTTCCCCGGTCACGATGCCGTCGCCCGCTTTTTTCATGCTCTTCAATGTATGGTTTCCTTCGGATTCGCTTTGTTGAGATAACGATAATTTTAAATAATAATATAATACGATATAATATTCTTTGAAAAATTTAAATCAGATTTGATTAAATTTGGAACAAATCTAACAAGTCTAAAAAGATTATTATCTAATAAAATATTTGATTTATGATTTCATTATGAAAGGAAATTGATTATTATTGCTACAAAATTTAATTGATATTTTTTGTATTAATTTGTATTAATTTCTGATAACTTTATAAATTTTCGTGTGTCTTTCTGACTGGGATAATCTGGTTTATTCCGTTTATGCTAAACATCAAGGGTGGGATTAAAGATAGCTTCTCTTATGATAATTTTTATAACTATTAACGTTTTTCTTTAAAAAGTTATCATTAATTTTTTCATCAGTAATGTAACGTAAAAATAATTTCTCTCAAGATAAAAAAAAACGGTCTATGCGCTGAATCTAGCAACCTCGTGAGAAATCGTACATTTCTCCATACAAATTCACCGTCGGCGAAAAAGTGTACGATGGTCAGTTCGCTCGCTTTTCGTCGGCTAATTTTCGTTTGATTGCAAAAGAGGAAAGGGGTTGAAAGCACACGAAAAGTCTCTCCCTTCTGTTCTTTTTCTTTCTCTTTTTTTTCTCGCGTAGTTCGGGGTGCAGAGATAACGATGCCCTTTGACCGCGTCGCGCGCACTGTACCGCTCGACGTTAGCGCGTTGCTAATTAGTTGATACTGACTTTGTGGCGATGCACGGCGTGTTGCGTTACGCAACAGGGGACAGTCATTGCGGAAAATTACTCGCATGATTGAGAGTGAAGAGTCAATTTTAATTACAGAAAACACTGTATGAGTTTTTTAAAAATTATACGACCACTCGCTCTCTCTCCCTCTCTCCCTCTCTCTCTCTCTCTCTCTCTCTCTCTCTCTCTCTCTCTCTTGCATTAATTATTTGAATAAGTTTTAAATTTAAAGAAACAAAATATTTTTCATTGTTAGATTAAATCTCTTGTTATTTAGAAATTCCTTTGATGTATTAAAATTTATTGCTAATCGTGATTTGTGATGTGCCGGAGATATTATTAATATGTTGTTTGATGTATCTCAAACGTCGACGCTGTTATGCGAATTGGCCGCGTATACGTACCTATTTTATACTCCATATATAGTGTGGTATTTTCATTATACACTCACGTCCTTTTTGAACCGCTCCGTGAAGGGTGCATATAGAGACGCGGTTGACATACGCTCGTGCCCATGCTTCATCGCTATTTATGGCAAATAATCATACGCGACTGTATCGTGCAATTTACATTGCGTTTGTTTGACTCTAATGGCGCGGCAAAAATATCAAGTTAATATTGATTCGCGTCTGTAATGCGTGTGTTGGCCGCATCCACTAGTTGCTATAATCGACTATCATCATTTCAATAATCGTTATCATTTCTAAATTTTATAATATTATTATATGTATAGTAGAAAAAAAAATCACAATATACATTCCTGTGAGTTAATGTAGTCTACAATTTCTTGATAACTTTATAATAGTTAAAGAATAATAATTCTAATAATTTTAATCTTCTTAAAATGTGATGGTTACATAGACGAAAAATTTTTGTTAATTTAAAAAGAATTTACACAGAAAAACGTAACATAGACATAAGTTGTAAGCAATATTTCTTCATCAAAATTAATATTTATAATATGTTAAATTAACATGTTTCAACAAATTTAACATTTATAATGTGTCGCATTAGCACATTTTATTTATTTATCTAGAATTTACATTTTATAAAACATTTTAATATTATTTGATCACTTAAATTGCTTATAAATTGTCTTATTTTAATTTTAAGAAATGTGAATGAATTGAGCATTAATTTAAACACACAAAATATTTAAATAACACCATCATATGTTAAATTAACATTCGGATATATAAAAATTCGACACAAAATTTTAACATGGACTTAAATGGATCGTAACACAAATACAGAATGTTTTTTTTACTGAGTACATTATTTATATTTGGATACGTTGTAATGAGATTTATTATTAGAAAACTTATTGTTATAAACTGTCAATAACTTTTGACGATTAGAAGTCGAAATAAAATTGCAAATCGGTCTGTAATCAGTTCGCCGTCGGTGCGGAGAATACCGGCGAGCAAGTAATATACGCATTGTATCGCTCGCACATCACACCCGCAAACGCATGTACAGCCGTTACATCGGGGGGATATGCGGTGTTTGGTTCGTAGTCGGGGATTGGAGTGTACAATCGTACCGTTTGGCAGCCTGTTTGAATGTTTTGCGACGAGTTTATTCGAGTTATCAATTTCCTGGCAAATATCTGCATTTCCGCACACCCACATGTTCTCCCTCTGTCGTTCTTCCCCTGCCATTCTGTATAGTGCCTGCAATAGCATTGCGTAACTGTAGATTTCCCAAGGATGAAACTAAATCTATCCATGAACTAACAATGGTAGATATATATAGGGAAAGAAAGAAAGTACTTTTCTTCAAGAGAATACTCTACTCTATTTTTTTTACAGATTAATCCGAGCTTTCTTCCCCCTCCTGCTTCTTTCTATATATGCAAATAAAATAAATTTGACGAAATTAAAAAAATATAAAAATAACAAAAAAATATCAAAGTTATATAATGAAGAAATTGACTTATGTCTGCTCCCACCAATATAGATTAAATTTAATTTTTAATTTACTCTTTATTTTTTTTTTAATTCTCAAAACTAAAAAGAGATTAAGAATTAATTGAACCAAGATTAAAGTTAAGTATTATTCGTTAAAATGAGAATTATACGTAGATATTATTGTAGTAACTCTGAACCATCGCGCACTTGAAAAATATTATATGTAGAAGTATTTTGTTTTTGAATGGTATATTTGAATTTAATATGTTTGTAGTATTTGTTTCATTGCCATTTTAATTACATTTTGAAATTTGCAATCCTTATATGGCATAAATCAAAATTGTACTCATATGAAATGCATAGCGACATAAATAAATAGTAACAAAATATTTTAAAGTCGAAACGATATAAAGGGTCATCCAAAATCATTGATAATTCCGAAAAAATATCAAAGCTTCGATATACGTGGTCGCTTTAAAACGGATATTTTTCAATGTAAAAAGGGGCACGGCAATGTAGACGGGCCGAAGGGCCACGTGTGTATTATCCGTAGCGCATTATCCGTACGTGTGTTTTACGCATAAATATGCAGTAATAATATAACATAGGAACCCCTCCCCCCCCCCCGTTCGTCTTGACGGTCATGAAATGGCGAACGTAAACCGGAAGCGTCATGATTTTTAGTCCGCCGCGAATGTACGTCGTTCTTTTTTTCAGTTTTGCATATTTATGTTCGCGTAATTTTCCACGAATCTCACACCGAGAATTATTTCCACGCATGCTGTTGAAAACGTGTACTGAAATTACAGACTAGAAATTCTTGAAAGAAATGAAATGAAATTACCTACTTAAAACTTATCAATCCATTGTATTCTAGTGATTTGATAATCTATTTTTTAATCATTTATATTTATACGTGTTGTGATTAATCTAATGATAATAATAGATATTTGCAATAGTCTTTTTTAAATTGTTTTATAAGTATCGAAACGGAAAGTATTTGTTTAATGAAATTTATTACGGTAGAGGTAATAAAAGTTTTGGTAAATATTATTAGATTTTTCTTAAAAATAATTTCATACAAATTTATGAATAGTAACTAGATAATTCTTTAATACATGGATATGCTTGATTAGAAATGAAAAAGTTAATAATATAATCCTCCAAGAAATGAAAGATTAATATTAAAGTAAGTATAATGTAATGCAACTGTTACAAGAGTTTTTCCATTCTTATACGATGCCATGAATAATAAAATAGAAAAGTCATTTCTTTCAAGCAATATTCCGCATAAAAATATGCATAAAAAATGTATTGCAGTGAAGTGAGTTAAAAAAATGATGGAAGTGCGAAGTGTTAAAAGAGTAAAAATGCGACGCTCATTTGCATCGCATATTTACGTAAATTATTGCTTCTTGAGGAAAGCAGTTAATATCACGTTAGTTACGACTATGTCGTACGTCACAGGTAAAAGCCCATATAAACGTCAATCATTCTTT